GTGGTGCACAGCGCGCGCCAGCGCGGCGTCCCGGTGGGTCCGTGCGGGGGGTGGGGCCGCGCGGTGGAGATGTCACTGCTTATGTCCCGCCCTGTATCGGGGTTTGGGGCGAGGGCGCGTGGCTGTAACGTCACGAACCACGTCGCGCCCTGGGGGCGGGGCCTTCGCTGTAGCGGGGGCGCTCACGGCCTGCGGGCGGGCGCGGAGTCGCAGTGCCTGGGTGGAAGTTGTCCGGAGCAGGCTGCACAGGCTCGGGGCAGGGACGGCTCGGGAAAGCGATGATCCCGGATTGAGCCGAGCGCAAGGTCTCTTCCAGCTCCTACTCGAACTCAGGAGTCGGGGGGCTGCGGGAGAGCCGCGCTCGTCACACGCTCTGGGCACTCAAGGGAGGGGAAGTCCTAACAGCTTGTCCTTACGCCTTCTTCAGATCTAGCCCACAAGCCCCGGTGGACACTTTTACACGGGGTGGGGGGTGAGCTTTAATTAGAGTAGCTCCAAGAGCCCTGCAGCATCTAGCATCCCCATGCCTCAAAGTGTCTGCAGGGGCACTTGAAGTATGGCTTGTCCGATGAGCTCTAGTTCAAGTGCCCCTGCCACCATGTTGAAGCACAGGGACCCTGATCCAGGAGGCTGCTGGAGCACAGCAATTTCCACGCTCCTGCAGGCTCGATTAATCAAGTCGGCTCCGAGGCCCTAGAATTGCAACAGGTTGGAGCAGCCTCCACGCTTGTGTAGGGGTGCTCAGTGCTCTCAAATAAGAGAAAGCTGATCTTTCCTTGCCTTTAAGCCACTTCATTTTTTTGATCCTTACATTATCTTTTTTTCTTTTTCCAGACATTTGTATGTTGGTATTTTGCTTCAAAATCATAAAGTAACAAACTTACAGGCCGGGAGTACATATATGTAGAGACCAAGGATAATTTTGTTAGTTTTAATAGCTAAGACAGTTAAGCTACAATGGGGTGGGAGTGTTCTAGCCGTGATGGGCCAGAGTGTACAAGAGGCAAGGATTTTACGGTATCTTTTACGTATCATCTATAGAGTTGGTTCAGTAAAAGAGTTTGGGCAAAAAAAATAAAAAATAATAAAAAAAAATCCTTGCCTCAAGTTAGATCCTTTTTTCTGCTTGGGATTTAGCTCTCTCCGGGCAGAGAACCTACCCTGCAGAGTGAGCGCTGCTCCGTACCTGGTACCTGCCAACAGGTTATGTGGCTATACAGAGTTTAGAAGAAACTTTGTTTTAAAACAATCTTGCAAAATTCTCATGACAGTTCATAAAGCTAGCTGCAACTTGTATTAGCACATACTTTACGATGACAAAAATGCAGTGATATTTCACTTGGCCATAAAGAATTAGTTGTGGGGGGGATTAACATTTTGAAAGGCTGCTTTATGGTAAAGCCCTCAAAACCTGTCAGTCATACAATATTGTTCCCAATTTTGCTACCAAGTAGGAAGATTACATAGCATTTCTTTACAGTCACATCATTATTGTTAGTGCACATTAATCCCACATCAGTGCAAGATATTTTACCATGCCTGCAGTAGGAACCATGGCCTAGAGTAGCAGTAAGGCTTGGTTTACACTTAGTTTTGTTAGACTAAGATAGATCAGAAACACAGAAGGATGTCTTTCCTTATTTATGCCTTACCAGTCTCTAATATACATGCTGATTAATTTAGTAGTAAAGCTTATTTAGTTCAGGGAATGGGTTTAAGCTACACCAGCAAAGAGCCTTTTTGTCACTATAAGCTGTATCTTCACTGTAGGGTTTGATATAAATCTAATAACCCATAAGCATACATGGGCCCAACACTTTGTTAGCTTCTCTGTCTACCATGCAACACTCCTCTTCCTCCTCCCAGCCACAGCATCTTTTTCTCTTTTTTAAAAAAAATAACTGTTCCCTGGTAAAAAAGGAATAAGAGAACAGAGGAAAAATAACCCACCTCTTTCCCCCTACCTGGGACTTACTGCACTTGCCATTGGATTGCTTAAAGAAAGGGGAGTTAAGTATCTGTATTCTTTCAAAGAATACAGAGATCAGGGGTGGGCAAAATGCGGCCTGGGGGGCAGATGTGGCCCACCAGGCCATTCTATCTGGCCTGCGGGGCCCCTAAAAAATTTAGAAAATTAATATTTATCTGTCCCTGGCTGCCTGTCATGCAGCCCTTGATGGCTTGCCAAAACTCAGTAAGTGGCCCTCTGCCCAAAATAATTGCCCACCCCTGACACAGATGCTGAGGAAGGTGGTAAGAGCAGGATGATGACATGATTCACTTGCTCTGTGGGAAAAGTGACCTGTTTGTGGGAACTGTGCCCATCTTTTGAAGACAGGAAGGATCTTCCGGCACAGGCACATGCTGCAGGTTTTTTTATGAGGATGCAAAGCACAGGTCGGTCTGGTGCTTTTCTCAAGCCATATTTATATTGCTGGAGAAATAAGAGCAGAAGGTCAGAAATTACACTGTCAGGATTAACCCAGAGGGTTGTTTTAAGGGCCTCACCTGCAAACTAGTCCTATACTTCCCCAGTCCTATCTCTTTTTAAATTAACCTACCACACCTTGATGGAAACAGTATCAAGGGAGGCTGCCTGGCATCAGAAGAGGGCAGTCCAGTGCTGTTTCTACTGCTTTTTTGCTCTAGCCCTTCTAATCATGGCCGTACATGACTTCCAACCACCCCCATGCCACATAGGTTTCAGTCTGTTTACAGGGTCTCTTGACTATCCCTGTTTCAATCTTCAGGTCCCTAACCTGGGCACCAGTTTCAGCCTCGTCTCCTTGAGCCTTATTTCAACAGCTTCCTCTTCCCTGGCTCCAGGCCTCAGCCCTGTTGCTCTAGCCCCTCACAGGGAAAGGGAAATGCATCAAAAACTAAGGAAAACAAAAAATCACAATGTGTAGAGCACTATTAGAGCCTCCCAGCTATTCCTCACAGGACTTTCCAGTCCTCTAGTATTTAGAAACAAACCATTAACACAAAACAGAACCCCACTTAGTTAACATAAATAATCCTGAACCAAACTCTCACCCTCCTGCTACGAACACAAAGTCTTCAACCAAATCTGCAGTCCCCCAGGTATGTTCAGCTAGGGTTACCATATTTCCAGGATCAAAAGGAACACTTGTAGGGAGAGGGGGAAGAGGCAGTGATATGCCTGTGCCCTGCCTCTGCCCCTCACTCCTAAGCCCTTGCCCCCCACAGCCCTTTCAGTGCCCCTCACTCCCAATCTCCAGCCCCCCAGCACAGCTGATGCCCCTCACTCCCGACCCAGAGACCCCGTCACTCTTGTCCTGCTACCCATGTAGCTTGCCTCCACACACACACACACACACACACTCTCTCTCTCTCTCTCTCTCTCTCTCTCTTCCCCCCCCCCCGGGGGCCTGGGGGCAGAACACATGATCCCCAACAGCCAGTCACGTTGCCCACTTTTCCCAGCCCCAAGCATCCAAACTGCTTGTGCCCAGGAAAGGTGGAGGCAAAGCAAAAACCCAGACATTTGCTTGCATTTTAAAAACCAGCCTGAACACAAGGATCGGGGGCCAAAAAAAAAAAAAAAAAGCTATGTCCAGGAAAGATGTGATATTGGTGATGTAGCCAATATCACATCTTTGATTTGCCAGTCTGAATAACCAGCTGGCCATTTTACACCCAAGTCAAGTGGGAGCAGGCTTTGGCATGAATCCAGGGCAGGGCTTGAACTCACTCCAGAGCCAGAATGGGACACCTTACTAGTCTGTCACCAAACCTCATTACCATACTAGCTGGCCTTTCACATATAGATGGGATTTGTGAATAAGCAATAGGATGCAGTGCTTAATGTTTTGAAATAACAGTTTCTCAGAGTTTTAAAATCTATATTTATTTTACATTGTTTGGAGCTGTGTGCAACTTTGCTTGAAAGAAACAAACCTCAAAAAGCCATGATATAAAACCAATGGGTATCTAAATGTTTATAGCATGTGAGCCAACTGTACTGTTGTGGAATCTGATGGTTTCAAAATTCATTGGATGAGCCCACTGGGGGCTGTGTGTATACACATTAAAATCTATTGTCTGATAATGGTTAACTCATGGATTCGTTCCTAGTTCTAAAATAACCACCTTAAATTACCAAACTACAGGGTATTTTACTGCTAGATGTAGCCAAATAGTTCTTTTTAAAAATGTAACTCAAAGGTACTGAATATAATGATGGAGTTGGAAACAACTGATTCTAGAATAGAATGAGGCAAAGTACTCCTCACTAATGATTTGAAAGAGAAGTAAGAGACATGCTAATTCAACTAACAGATGTTTAATTAGGTGGGGTTGCTAACACCAGTGAGAACAGAAAAATGGTAAGTACTGAATAAAATATGACATGGGCAAAGACAGGCCAGTAAAGCTGAGGATACACAAGTTGCACACAAATGTAATGAATGTCTGTCTCTTGGAAAGTAACATTGTTATGACCTAGGAGTGAGTGGACTGCCACAGAGGTCAAAATATGAAATGGGCCACAGTGATAAAATATGCTAATGAAAGTTCAGAAATAACACATCGTTGATGAGAAAGGGTGTTAGCTCTCCTTTGTTTTGTGGATTGCTACATTCAGTATCAGCAAAATATCTGACTCAAGGGAATTCAGAGGACAGCATATTTCCTATGGTATAATTTGTAGTGCTTGGTTTCAGCCCAATTTAAATCACCCCAGTACTAGAGATTCTCTTTGTTTTGCAGATCTGCTAGCAGCTTTCACTAATTTGTCCTTTACTGGTATTGCATTGCATGTAGTTAGTACCACAGTAGCCCATTCTAAAATTAAATATCTTTTTCTTAGTGTTTATACCTTCAATCTTTTTCATCTTATTTAAGCCCCTTTAGCAATCCATTAGCCAAACTATAGATTGACGTTTATATAATCCATATCACCATTCCTCGTAATCATGCTTTATTAGGGAGTTGGGCTAGTTCCCTCCTATTACACAAGCTTCCCAACAACAAGAGCTGCAGTAGTGGTTTGCCAGGAAGCCTGGGGGCAGTTTGTGTTCTTATGTTCCATATATATTTACAAAGGATTGTAATCAGAAATAAACACACACAGTAGCATGTATTTATACAGAGCTGGAAGTGTACGCAGCACTTCACAGTACAGAATCATCTTTGAGGGCTGGAAGGGAAGTGAAAACTCAGTGCGGGAAGCCAGCTTCTCAACTCAGCTGTCTGAAAGCAATGTAGGCTGTTTCAGTTGTGAACAAACTATACACATGAAAATGGTGAGAATGCTGAAAGGAGGTACTCTTGATTTACTCCATATATCAGCACTCTTATGTCAAAAGAAGAGGATCTACTATTAATTCCACGTGTAGAAGCCCTTAGACATTAAACAAAAACACAGTTTGAAGTTGTATTTTAAAAAGCATTAACGATATTTCATATTCTACCTTTGCAAAACAAGTATTAACTGAAACTCAAACAAGACAAAAACTAATTAGGCAACAACTTGCTTTTACAGACATTTGCATGATATTCTTACATGTCTCAAGCACAATTCTGTTCTGTCTTTATGAAAATGCCTATTAAGCAAATACACTTTGAGTGCTCACTTAAGAAAGGTATTACAGAGAGTTCTTTCTCTTGGATTTGTATGCTGCTACTTTTAGAAGTGTGATGCAGGATGCCAGTAAAAGTAGAGCACAGATACCATTGGAGTTGTTTTGAATGTTGTTTGTCTTGACTTTAGCTATATGTGGTTTCCATGCATTCTTGGAGCACCTGTCCAGTCATTTTACTTAGTTGGAACTGTTTAGAGACATGTCAGCCTGCAGCATTTCCCATGAATACTTCCATGGGTCATAAGCATGAAAACACCTTGTGCCAAAGAGGGGAAAATTAGAATTAGATTACATTAGAAATATATAAAATACTGACACAGCCTTTCTGCTACAATTTTCTCATTTTTTTATCTGCTGTTTTTCATAGTCAAAATTGTGCTGTATTAGTTAGACAAAGCATGTCTATCAAAAGCTCTTTAGAAGGGTCTTGCAAGTACACATGCACATGTGAATACATGTAATAATGTAACCCAGGGCTGTCTAACTGGCAGCCCACAACCCCATCCAGCTTGCAAGGGGTTAACATGCAGCCCAGTTAACAGGGCTCCCACCTTGCAGCTACTCCCCTCACTACTTTGGTTGAGCAGTTGCCAGGGCTGGGGGTCTGGAGAAGGATAGAACAGCAGGAGGGCATGAGCTTGGCAGACAGCTGTGTTGGGGGGAAGGCTTGGGCAGGGGAACTCACACAGCAGCAGTGAGGGTGACATCACCAGTGTGGTGAGAGCATTGTGGAGGCTCTTACACAGTGGGTTGCGGGGAGGGAATTGCCCACAGTAGTTTGGGCTGCTTGCTCGACAGCTGCTTGTGGCAGGGGTCCTGGGAAGTGTATGGGCCCTAGCCACCCTGAAGTTGGGCAGCCCTGGTATAGCCCATTATTAGTATGGTAAAACCTCGTATTGGGATAACTGGTAGACACTATGGACTTAGTCAAATGCACTGAATCCATGTCAGAATCCCATAGATTTGTACAAACCACTTTGGCTAATTAGTCACCTGTTAAAGTGTAATTAGTCATTTCCAAGTGTGTACACGTCCTGAATCACAATGGAATTTGCTTCCAATAATTAGTTGGCTTAGAAGGTGGCTTTCATGTCAAGCCAGCTAATATGTGCAAAGCATTGGATATTCTTCTGATTTTCTTAGTACAAGAAGACAGGTGATCAGCCCTTTCATTTAGCAGAATTTATCTTCTCTTTCGCAAGCAAAGATGCAAAGCAAACTTCTTTGACTAATTATTCTACTTAGTCATAGGTATGTAACTATTATACTGCAAGCACTCTAACCTTGTGTAGTAAATGCTTAATGTAAAGTTTCTTATCTGTATAATCTTACCAGTTCTCATGTCAGAATGAATACAACTGCACCCAGTTTTTGTAATAAAAAAAAAACATATTACAAAGGTCTAAAACCATTCTTTTTTTTTTGCTATGTCTTGATAGAGCATACAAAAATATATCTTAGAAAAAATTGGAAGTGGTTACCTACTAGTAATTGGTTATCATTACCCTGTACAGTTATGAAGTTACCAGATTTTACTGTATGTAAATATTTATTTTCAAATTATAGCAGTTTTTCCCTACTAAAACTTCTGTCTCGTGCTGATGTTGAATAAACTAGATTCAGTTTCCTTTTAAACAATAACCGAAGTGGCATAGAAAAAAGACAAGGTTTTTTAGTAGTTTTTTCATAATGACTCCACTGCTTTGTGGCTATTTGTACGTGCTTTCACTTTAGGATTAATTTGGCTTGTTTCTCTTCATACTCATTGGTGGATGCCTGGGTCACTCATATCACTAGCTGTTGTGGTACAGTTAGTGGCAGTTGCAAAATGGCTCTTTTTAAAGACATAAACAGCAGGGACTTGCGATGGTAGTATATTTTGTAGAATTCTCATATTTTCAAGATGGGGAAACTGGAAAAACATAGAAAGATATAAACAGCCTTATTCAGATAAAATAAAGACTACTGGCTATGCAAGCTGTGTAGAAGATAAACCATCTTACTTGTTTCTTGTACAGTATCTAAGATGACAGGGTCTTGTTCAGTGACTGAGACACTTTGAGCACTACTGTGAAACAAACAACATGACTTTTTTTCCCCAGACACACAAAGTAGTGATTTATTTCAGTAATAGTTCAACACAGCAGTAGGTCAGCATGGTCTGTTAAAAAATAAGTTCACAAACTGATAGAATTAATGTGGTAACATCCTTTACATGTGATTTGTTCATTTTTCAGTTTTAATTATTTTCCTACCACAGTTTTTGGGGGCCTCTGAAACTTAGGACAGGGAGTTAGTTGACTGTCACAAAAATTCAGAGTACATAGCGTCAAAAGTGCATCTCATTTGAGGTGTTGCAAAAACTAATTTCTTCCTGTGGCTAACATGATTAAATTGATAGCTCCTCAAGTAGAAAAAAAATTATAAACAGCAGGCACCGCTTTAAAAAAATTACATTTCCTTTTGATCTAGCCTGAGTCATCATTCAGAGTAAAAATTCAACCAACATCCATCCTTCCCTCACCTTTCCCTTAAAACAGATCCTGAAACAAGCAAAAAAAATCTACAAGGGAAGATGCATCATAAAAGGTCATAATTTTATTGTTGGAGCAGATATTTCTTCCATTGTTTTTCACCTGGAATTGATTATTACTAGATAAACTGTTCATTTCAGGTTAAGAGTGGGGGGCAGGGGACGAAAATTAACTTCTACTGGATAATTCTTAAAATAGAAAATACACAATGTCTTTTACCACTGATGATCTTGCAATAGCACATAAAACCACAAGATGGCAATGTTTGTATACATAGGCCACACATTTTGAAAACATTTCAGATGAACCAATTATACTGTAATCTGTAGAAAAGGAGAAATGCTTGCAAATTTTGGAGCAGCTGTGAGACCTCTTTCATCTTCATAATCAGATTATCGTGTGTGTGTGTGTGTGTGTGTGTGTTACCATCATACCACAGGGAGGTTGGAAGACGTCACAAAAAGGTCCGAATATATGGAGTGTTTTCCTAGCCACCCTGTCAGCGTACCTTGGCTCTGATTTTGTGCAGAGCTGGGAAGATGGGAAATTTAGTCTCTGTGACCTATGCCAGTCAGCTCTTGGCCTTACTGCAGAGACCACCAAAAAAAGATGTCAGTCACATTTGCACTTGAGAGTTGCCTATTGGGAACTAAACTGAGATTTTCAATCTCAATTTACAACCAAACTGGTAATTTAAGAGGGAAATGCTTGTATCTCATTATTATTATAATCCTACAAATGTATGTATGCTACAGGGAAGGTAGCTTTGGGGTCCTTGTTCCTATTTCAAGAAGTACATTAACAGATTTCTTTAGAAAATGGGTAGGTAGTAGAAAAGGACTACCATGCTCTTCTCCACAAGGCAGAACTAGTTTATTTCCAATCCCCTAATGCAGTCTCCTGACGGATGTTTTGTTGTGTTCTACAGAGCTGTTTCAGGATTCAGGTTCTTTGATTTGTAAGAACCTTAAATTGTAAGAAACATTTGATTCTAAGTTAGACACTGACCTGTTTATTTTGAATATTGTCTCCTATTCTATAACAGAATGATCACGCTGTGCCCTAGCCCATGGAGGAAGTGAGGGTGGGAAAGGAAGTTCATGTGAGACCAGCAGTAAACCAATCCAGAAGTCTTGTGTTTTATTTGCATGTGATTCTCATACAAACATCTGCTATCATCCACTGTGAAATAAAGATCCTGTTAGCACAAAAATGTTAAAGGAGAGTGGTAATTCTTAATAAGGGGGTACTTAACAACAACAACAAATTCTTAGTCATTAAGTAAACGTTTGCTATTCATACATCGTAAGGCTGGAAGGGACCTTGGAAGATCGTTGGGTTCAGCCCCCCTGCACCAAGCAGGAAAGACAACTGGTGTCAGGCTATGTAATACTGCTTTCAGATTCTCTCAGAGGGTTTTATAAGGAGTTTTTTTTACCCGTTAGCGCTATGAAAATAATTCAGCTCCTTGTTCTGTAAGCCAGGTGCTGTGATTATACACTGACACAGTTTGGGCTGGCAGTCAGTTTCAGGACTCAGTTCTGCTGAAGTGATGGGGAACAAAATTATTCTATCCCACCATACTTGGAATTTTTAATATCCACCTTGTTTCTAATTGAAGAGACATATATAGCAATTTCCAACTTTTGTTGCTAAGCTTCAGTTATAGACTAAAATGCTCCAACCTTTCCAAGACATAATGTATAAACAAATTCTAGATTGATGGGTTAAGAAAAATTATACTTGTGTACTTTTTTTTCCAGGACAAAAATATGACGGTGACAAAGGATTTTAGCAGAGTAGAAAATGGCTATAAAATGGAAGCAGAGGTAAGTATTATTCATAGCAAGAGTAATAGTAATGCACACAGACATTGAGCATATTTGAAAATTATCTTCTCTCAAAACTGGGGACAGTTGTATACAGTTTAAAGAATCTCCTAAGTTACAGTTTGAAAAAAGCCTTTCTGAAAGAGTACAGTTGTAAAAAGACCCTCCATGAAACTTTCAAAAATATAAGCTTGGTGTTTCTGTGACAGTTTCTTTACTACTTCTATAGTACAGCCCATTGTTTTGCTTCCAGGGCCCAGTTTTTAAGCATGACTACAAAATAATGACTTGAGATACGGTGTATATTCCTCTGTCTAAGACATTCGACATGGGTTCTGTTTTAAGTGGCTCTGCCACTGGTCTATAGCCAAGCCACTAAATTTGGGTGAAGATTCCTACAGAAGGGCCAAGTTTTAGGTTGGTAATCCCATTGATTTCAATGAGACTACTTGCGTGAGTGGGGCTTTGCAAGATTAGGCTGTTAAAAAGAAACTGCTGCCTTGGAGCTGTCCACTGAGGAAAAGCACCATCTCTTCAGTCAGTGACCCTTGGAGTACACCATACTAATTAGACTGGAGGTAGACAAACTTTCCTGACTGCGGGTCAGAATGATCCCCCTTGGGTGCATCTACACGTGCACTTTACTATGGAGCTGACTTATTAGCTCCACAGTAAAATGTCACAGTCTACACATGCCTGTATTAGGGCACAGTAAACTAATTAACTCCAATGTAGGATAGTACTGTCTGGGATAAGTACTGTCTTACCGCAGTGTAATTATATGCACTCAAACACATGTGTAGACTGACTGGCTGGTTGGGGCACAAGGGTGGTACAGTGCGGGGGCAGCCTGCCACCTAGCCCCTGCACTGTATCACCCTCTTGCCCCAGTCAGCCCCTCCACCATCCAAAGCCCAGGGCTGACCCCCTCAACTCCCCTGCCAGCTGCTCCACCCTGGCTCAGATCACTGTGGTCCCAGGCACACGTGAAGACGCTGCGCCTGGGAAGCAGCTGACTCCACAGTGAACTGTGCCAGAGTTTATTCAGTCACATTAACAACGTGTAGATGCATCCCCTGAGTCAGAGATGGGTGGGCTGGCATTGGAACCCAATAGCTGCTGTTTGTCCCTGTAGTGGCACAGGGACAATTCAGGGAGAGCACCCACCACTGAAGCCTCACGTCCTTGGGTCAGATTCAATGGTTCTGTAGGCCAGATCTAGCCTGAGGGTCATAGGTTGCTGACCCCTGAATTAGACAACTATCCTACATCTTGATTTTATTTTACTGAGGCAGCCTAGGAGTTTGCAACGCTGACAGATGTTTTGTTATGTTCTACAGAGCTGTTGCTAAACTTCATACAGTAGGATTCAAATTCAAGAAAATAACGTAGCATACCCTTTCAGATTTCCCACATTGAATTTAGTAATAATGTAAAAGGGACTTGTAAATTTTTGGGAGCAGAAAAATAAAATAGATGCTTAACTTCTTAAAGAACTTGAATCATGATTTTTCTTGAACATCAATCCTTAAGTCCTATTTTTGGCTGTAGCACTTGCAGGTTAGTCTTCCTATAACTTTATGTAACAACACTTAGAATTATACTGTAATTTTCCTTCCTGTACATGCTTTTCATCCTACTTTACCTAATTTTGAACATAACCATTGAAATAGTAATTACTGCCTGCAGTAGCCTTTTGTGTCTTGAAAAATACATAAATAGAGTCCATATGGCTTCATCTTAAGCATTTATGTCAAACTGCTAACATACCAAAAATACCAGACCTCCTCACAAAAGAACGTTTTCTTAATCCACGGCTTCCATCCCCTTTAAACAGTTTTAGTTCTGCTGCAGAGCAGTGACTTTCTTATGATAGGGCTGAGATATTGCCCAGGTATAGAAGCAGTAGTTTTCATTAGATCTTAACAAAGGTATCCAATCTTGATCTAAGCATCATGGAAAAGAAAACACGTTTCTAATTTCTGTTTATATTAACTCATAGGTTTGCATTACATTCAGTGATTTTGAAAAAATGCAGAATGTCTGCAATCTGCTTATTGAGAAGTTAGGTGGTTCCATTAACATCAGTCCCCCTCACTTCTACCATGCGCCAGAAGCTGTACATACACTCCGGTAAGTTCTACCTCTCCCCACCGGTGGCATTTATCTGAATGTGTAATCTGTGGTATTTAGAAATGGAAAGGAAGTCCTTATACTTAAAGGAAAATCCCAGTAGCTTTATAAATCAAATCCTATTTAACTCACAAGTGATAAAACTTAATCTTTCCATGGAGGTTACCATATTCTTGCCAAAAAACAAAAGGTAACAAAGGATCTTACTTCTCCTGGTGAAATCTGTGGATTACTTAGAATATTAAGTCAGCATGTTTGGTTTTGGAGAATTCTGTAAAGTGCACTGATTTAGCCAGCAAGCAAGGGAGTTGGATGGGGGCATCATGTCTAGATACTTTTGATTTCCCTATTCTGAATGACTAGGTACTGTTTGCATCTGGGAGTGGCCTTCAGCATGAATCTGGAATAAAACTTGCACTTACACTGTAACTGCTTTACCATCATGCCCACTAGCTGTATGTAGTATATGTATGCTCTAAATCTCTCTCCCCACACAATTTTAACTGTCCAGCAAAAGACTTGGGAAGATGTCCTTTATATCTCTGTAAGTATACAGAAACAACCCCCCCCCCCCAAAAAAAAAAACAAAAACAAACTTGGTAGGAGACTGCATCAGTTGGGTCTGTTAAGTTATTTTGCTGCTTTTTACGTTCTAGGTGTGAAGTGTGTCTTGCTGCTGTTGAAAACACACGTCAAAAAGCTCAAGAGGTCTGTCAACTGTTTGGCCAGGCATTGGGAAAGCCTTTGTTAATAAGAGAAGAGGAAACAAAAGAATGGGAAGGACAAACAGACTGTCACCTATCAGACTCTTCAGACTCATTGACTATGCAGCAGAGAATCGAGAGAGCCACTATTTATGCATCTTCAAGAGTATTTGCTATTTTTGAGATAAAAGGAAAAGAAAAAAGAAAGAACAAGTTGATTTAAAAATGTACTTCTTACCTGCCATTGATAAATCTTTAAATACTTTAAAAGTATGCATTTCTTCAGTTTTTCAAACACATACCTTTGAATACAGTTGTTCAGGAAAAACTAATTAATAGTGTTCCCTAAAAAATAGATTGTTCTTAACTGGAGACACAGAAGTAATTCTATCATGATTTTTCAAACGGATTAAAGGTGGATAACCTGGACTGTACATACATTTTATTCCCTTTAATGAGGAGAGAGATGGGCGTATGGCTTTATACAAACTTCATTAAGATTGTCTTTTTCAGATTTTACAACCATGAATAAAGCAGAACACCAGTAGGAAAGCTCATGTATACCATGTTTCAGTGTGCTAAAGAAAAAGATACAAGATAAAAACATTACTAACGATAACCACATTTTGACATTTCATTTTCAGTATCTTCAGCATTGGGAATAATATGTAGCTCAGTGCATAATCTTTCAGAAAACATATTCAGATTCAGATATTACTACAAATATTCAGAGGAATTACTAACATTTCTGTCCATTTGGAAAGACATGACAGTCAACTGTTAATTTAGTTTTTTAAGTGTATGACTTTAGAAGCTGCTAGCTGAAGCAGCTGTATTTAAAGCTTTCATTTCAAGCAAGTGAGAAAAGTACACAGGCAGTTTTAAATGCTTCAGTGATGAGAACACATTTTTCTTAACTATGGCTGCATAGTGTACTTTGATCCATCATACCTACTTTAGTAGGCTTTTAGATCAAGGTGGCATACCTGGGAAAGAATCTTTTTAAACTGAGTCAACAACAAAATGATCAAAAAAGCTCCGGCAAGAAGTTTAACAGTACTGTAAGTTATTAACAGTAGTTTCTGAGAACTCTTCAATATCTGTTAGCCATAGTAAGAACTATGGCACAACTCCATGCAGGTCCAAACACAATGCAGTTAAAACTTTTAGGAGAAAGTAACCAAAAAATGTACATATTTTTTATCTTATATATCTTATATCTTATCTTGTATATTATCATCTTGTTATATATATTTTAGTTCTTAAAAGATCAGGATATTTTACAGACAAACCCAAGCATTTGTGTGGGGTATTTACAGAGGAGGAAATTAATGCCGCAGTTCAGTAAAGAGGAGGAAATTAATAGCTAAATTCAGTAAAGGACCATAGATACCTTCTCTGCAACATGGAATTCAGAAACCAGAGAGTCAGGTGCCTACAGTACAGGGGGAATGACAACTCCATGACCCAGGAAATCTGTGTGTTGAACAGGGGGCTGCCTAGCATTTTCCAGCAGCAAATGCTGAGCACAGGAATAAGTCTGCAACTCTATAGACCTCATCCACTTGGGTTCCAGAGTACAGAATCCCCTCCTGAAGACAGACACTTCTACCCATTCTTTGAAAGAATGGAGCAGGGCTCATTTTAACTTTAGAAACACAGCAGGAGAAGATGGAGATGTGGAAGAAATGGAGTTAATAGAATCTTAGTCTGAGGTTATTCAAAAATGCATATTAACTAGGCCTGTGTGAATAGGGAAGTATTCGATTCGGGTTCAGCTGATTTGGAGGACAGTGATTCAACTTGGAAATTCAGATCACTACCCTGAATCAATTCGGCTGAATTGGCTTTGGAAGATTCGGCGATTCAGATCCACTGGGAAGAGGCTGGCACAGCTGGGTGGCTGCAGGTTCCCCCATGTCTCCTCTGGCTGTGCTTGCCTCTCCCTCTGCAGGGGAGCCAAAAAAAAAGTCCTCATGGCTGCCCTGCCTGGCCTCATCCCCAGCCTGGCCCCAGCCTCCTGGCACTTAAAAAAAGCCCCCCACTCACCAGCTGCAGGACCCGCAATCAGGGCCTCAGGGCTGATAGCAGAGCCCTCCTCCTCCCAGGCGCAGTGCGGGCAGTAGGAGGCAGCAGAGATTTGGGAGCTGGGAAATTGAATTAAACCAGGGACTGGGGAAATGAACAGGTTCCATTCCCCAGCCCCAGGTTTGATTCCCCATACCCCAGTTTGATTCACCTGGGAGCCAGGGCAGCTCCATGTGTCAGCTAGAGCCCGGTACCGCTCAGCTCCAGCAGCCCCAGCTCCCAGGCAGTGAGCGACGCACTGCTGAGCCCCGCTGCACCCATGCCGTGGGACAGCTGCCACATGGGTGCCAGGTGTGGGGGGCGATCCCTGCTGCCTCCCACTGCCCTGCACTGCACAGGGGGGCCTCTGGGCACTCATGGCAGAGCTCCAATCCCCACTGCCAGAGCCGGTGAGTACAGGTGTTTTTTGTTGTTTTGTTTTTTTAAGTGCCAGGAGGCTGGGGCTGAGCAGGGGATGGGGATGGGCAGGGCAGCCATGGCAGCTTCTCCCGCAGCTCCTCTGGCTGTGCCTGCCTCTGCCTTAGCAGGGGGAGCCACGGGAGCTGCTGCCCCTTGCCCCGCTGGGTGGGGGGGGGGGGGGGG